ATTATTCGAGAATAGTTAGAAACTGGTTGGACGCAAATTATCCAGAAAGATGGATCGGCCGTGGAGGACCAGTCGCCTGGCCTCCACGATCCCCTGAACTAAATCCATTAGATTTCTTTGTGTGGGGATTTCTAGAACAAAAAGTGTACCTGACTCCCGTAACCACAAGAGATATGCTAATAGATAGAATCAGGAATGCATGCGATGAAATAAGGCCTTATTTGAATAATGCTATACTACGTTCTATCATTCGTAGATGTGAATTGTGTATTGAACAATTGGGTAACACATTTCGAGCATTTTAGTTGTAAATAATTAATTTAGTTTGTTAACAATAATATTGGAAAATTAAACAAATTAATATTCTGTTTTTTTGTGTTTACTTGGAGTTAGGAATTATTGCTGTGTTTGAAAACACAATCTAAATGATCATCTTAATTACTTGTAATGACCAAATCGAAAATTTAAAATAAAATATAATTTTCCCATAAATAATTAAAAATTCATCGAACTTAAAAATCGAAGTATCTCAAAAACGGCTAACTATAACCAAAAATTAACAGGATAGCTTTCTAAGGCAGAAAAGTACGAAGAATCAGTTTTTTTAATCAAAAAGCAAAAAATTGCACTAAGAAAAGATTTTCGGTCATTTTAATACACTACAGGTACATTAGAGAGCGCCCTCTAGCGGCTACAGTAAATCTATGCCCATGGTTCGTTTTGTCGTACCAAAAAAAACCCTTGTATACCGATTTTCACTGTTATACATCAAATACTGTTCGATATATTTAAAAAAAAACTATTTTAAAAAGTAAATTCAAACACCCTGTATTTCGGAAGCCACGCATTTTTCGACCCATGTTCACATAGACTTTATTCATTAATTTTAAAAGTTCTATCGAATCTTGAGGTTATGCAACAATGAACTGAAACACCCTGTATATGACGGCATTTCAAAGTCTATTTTGTTGGTCGAAGTATGTCATCGTGCTCTAAAAGTGCCGACATTATGTCACTATTTTCTCTGGGACATTGACTTCAAACCAGCACTTTCTGAGTTGGTGGATCGAGTGGCTGATCCATACAAAAGTTCGGAGAGAACACATCCACCTTGAGCTTCTCCGCAACAAAACCTCGCAGTTTTTAAAAGTAACCCCTGCTAAAATTGAGTCGTAACAATAAATTGAATTCTCGAACCGCATTGCATCCAGGTATCTCATTTCCAGGCGGCTGGAACAAGCTGTTAAAATTTCGGTATTGCGTTGCGGGAATTGCTTGCGAATTTGGAACGCCGGCCATTGTCACTTAAACACCGCCAGCATCGGAAGATCGGCGCGTTAGATAACACACAAAATGCTGTTTATGCATGCCGGGGAAGAAAGGGGATCGCAAAGCAGTTTAATTGGCTTTGGCGGCACAGCGGTGTTTAAATTGCTTAGACCCTCAAATGTACAGTCCGGGATCCCATGTACAGTCGAGAGCAAAGATAGTTCCATTGAAATGTTTTGTCATTTAGAGACTTGCAAGTCGCCGGGATACCGGTGACAGCTACCTTAAAGTCGCCGGTAGATTATCTATGGTCGCAGCCAGCGACTCCTTGGCGCTGATTAAATTACTCGATATTTGGCGGCGGTTATCCATTGATATTAACGAGGTGTAGATGTTCAGGTTCCTGAGATTTGTAATAAACTATATTTAAGGTTTTTGTTTTTAACAATATTGAGCACAAACCACAAAGTCATAAAAATACATAAAATATCTTTCAATGAATCTTAAAAAGTAAAACAAAATACTATTTTACCAGTCAAAATAAAACTTTTAAAACATAACAAATGTAGTATAAAAATGCTTCTTTTATATGTTAAACATTGCTTAATAAACGAAACATTTTTCTATGAAACAGGAACTCACAACAATAACAACAAAAACTAACAAAATAGGTTAGGCTACGCTGTAGCGACCCTGTTCTTCCCGCGCGATGATCGCGAACGCGATGTGTATATGCTTCCTGGCAGCGACCGCGACCGAAACAGCGTTACAGCTACCGATCAGTGGTTACCGATACCAATACTTCCAAACAGCGATCTGGGTCGCTGCTTCATGGAGAATCCGGTCGCTGGGACCAACGGCGACCATTCAAGTCGCCGGTACCGATATATCGATCATCTCTATCTGTCATTGAAACAAGACCACTCAGTGTTGTCGGCGGAGAAGCACTGCCTAAGCATAGTGACTGTTTTGAAAAACAGGCTCCAACTTTTACTAATATGGGGAAAACGTGGCGCAAGTATTCCTGCGTCCACTAGAAATACGAGTCATTCCAAAATCGGTTGCAGAAAAACGTGGCAATAGATCTTAATTCTAAAAAAAAAAATTTTTTGTTAAATTTTGTTGTACGATATTCATGATATACACATAACCTTATAAAATTCAATTTCAAAGCTAGGCGCGGTCATTCGTCTCTTTTTTTTTTGATTTTTAGAAGATTTACTTGGTCAGGATACAAAAAATAACAACTCTGTTACTATCATTCATTTATTAGTTAAACAACAAAAATATCTTTTTATATTCTTGTTTGTAATTAACATGAATTAAGTCTTTACTCTCATGTTTGGCATGGAAAATCACAGTATTGTTTCTTACTTAATATTTTAATAATTCCTAAAATTATGGATACTCTGTTACCCTGTATGTTTTATATGAAACTAATTTTTTTCTCAACTTGCTTAAATTGAATGAAATACAATAATTTAACTAAGTTATTGTTCGTAACTAAAAGTAGTATACAGGGTGGCGCATCGAAAACGAAACATTTACTGGCAGCAGTTTTTTTTTTGGAAAAATGCTCAGACCTGTCGATTTTGTTTTCGAGAGGGACACAAGTTTGGCAAAAAATCACGTTAGCACGTGCAGCCCCCTAAGCGGGGGTGACACCAACCCTAAAATCTTAAATGGAAAGGGGGGTCGAGTGATACCTTATTTAGAATGCCTTTCACAGCTTTATAATAATGTAAGATACATGAGCTTCAGTTAAGTGGTTTTGAAGATTTATTGACTTAAAGCTTAAAGTAGACTTTAATAGGTAGGTATATCAGATTAGTTTGTACTACTTCCAGAAGAAATTTGACTAAAAGAACTTACTTAATAAGCAAATGCTTTTCTTCACTACGCCCATGGTTTGTTTATCATTTTGTTGTTGAAAATAGCTATTGGAGCGTTTTTTGTGGCAAAAAAGTTATTTCTTGAAGAAAGATAAGAAAATATCTTGTACTTATTTTAAATTAAAATTTAGTACATAGTTTGCGATTGATTTGACCAAACTTTGTTGCTAAAACAACTTGTAACGCTTTATTACATAAATTAACCACAGCAGAAAGAGTTGAAGTTATCGAAATATTTTTCGGAAATAATCAGTGCGCTAATAGAACAGCAGAAATATTTAATGAGCGACGTGAGAACAGTAACATGCATCGAAAATATGTTCTAGAACTTGTAGCTAAATTTCGGGAAACTGGGTCAGTCGCCAATAAAAAACGCAAGATTGAAAATCCTATAAGGAACGAAGCAATAGAAGTGGGGATTTTAGGGCAAGTTTATGTAGATCCTACGTTAAGTACCCGCAAATTGGAGACTGTGTGTGGTGTTAGTCGACGTACTGTCACACGGGTTCTAAAGGCCCATAGTTTTCATCCGTATAAAATTCCCCTGATACAAGAACTTAGTGAATACGATTTTGATCGGCGATTACAATTTTGTGAAGATATGAGTGTACGAATTATAAACGATGAACGTTTACTATTCAACACTTGCTTTTACGACGAATGTTCCTTTTTCTTAAATGGCGTAGTAAATCGTCATAGCTACCGATATTGGTCCGATTCTAATCCCAGAATTTACTATGAGGTTCATACACAGCAGCCACAAAAACTAAATGTTTGGGCTGGTATTTTTGGCGATCATTTACTTGGTCCTTTTTTCTTACCTGGAAATTTGACCGGTAGAATGTATTTGGTATTACTGAAGACGGCATATATCCTGCATTAACGCCTTAATTGAAAATCAGGATGATCGGCGGTACATTGCGAATAGGTTGATGTTCCAACAGGATGGTACCTCACCATATTACGCATTACGTGTTCGACAATATTTAGATCAAACGTTTCCAGATCGATGGATTGGTAGAGATTTATCACCTTTGGATTTCTTTATGTGGGGTCATTTAAAAAGCAAAATCTATGCTACTCAGCCAACGAAGACCTGCGACAAAGAATTGTGAATGGGTGCCTTCAATTTACTCCTCAAATATTGCAAAATGTGCGGCAGCGTGTTGACCAAAATCTTTATTATTGCATGGAGAGTCATGGTGGCCATTTTCAACATTTACTTGCCTAACGGGTCAGTTCATTCTTCATTTTTAAACTACTTTGCTGCCAAATGTATTGATCTCCACTAATGATGATGTATTACTTTTATTTAAGCTTTAAATGAATAAATCTATCTTCAAAGCTACTGAACTGAAGTACATTAATTTTATATCATTATAAAGGGAATTGAAAGACCTGCAAAATAAGGTATCACGGACCCCCCTTTCCATTTAAGATTTTGGGGCTGTTGACAGCCCCGCTTAGGAGGCTGCACGTGCTAACGTGATTTTTTGCCAAACTTGTGTCCCCCTCGAAAACAAAATCGACGGGTCTGAGCGTTTTTCCAAAAAAAAACTGAGCTGCCAGTAAATGCGTCTGTTTCGTTTTCGATGTGCCACCCTGTATATCTGACATATAAAATATACAACATCTAACTTTACCCTTTTAAAAATAGGGACATAAAGGTAACAGATTTGTAGGAATCCTAACATATTTGTACTTTTATAAGTAATTTATGAATATAATCACAAAACTTTCTTTTCGTAATTATTAGACGTCATAACGTAAAAAAACAAGTCTGCTCTAGCTGAGATTAAATTAAAAGTAGTTAACTGATATCTTATTTTTCAAGTATTTCTAAAGGAGTGGGGAATATACCCTTTTGCGCTTCATTATATTTTTAGGTTCAGAAACAATTCTTATCAGGCTTTCATATTGTTCGTATGGTATATCATTTTCGACCAATTTAAATGTTTTTCCGGTATGGTCAACAGACTTCATGAATACTATTTTTACTTCTTCATCATCGTCTACTCCATTTAACGCTTTTCCAAGGTAAATGTATTCGTTTTTAGAAGAGCAAATTTTTACTAGAACGTCGACTCCTTCTTCGATTCTACTGGGATGAATATTCTCCTTTTCAATTAACTTGTTGTCATCATCTTTTTCTTTTGACAATCCAGGTTGATCATCGCTAGATTCCGAGTCCGAACCATATACAGCATTGTAAACTATTTCTGTTGGATATTCTCTCCCCATATTTTCAAAGTGTTCAAGTATAAGGTACATCTTCACGTTGCTACTGTCTTTCAGAAGCTGATAGAAGGAAGAAGCATCAGAAATATCTTTCCCAATGGCAACAAATTGGTCAGCAGTTCGCTTAATAAATCCACCGATACCGTCTGCCGCCCCCTTTCCACGTTCCGCCTCAAAATATTTCCAATTAACTTTGACAAAGTCTGAGTCGCGGGTCCATCTGAAAATATCTTTCAGCAGCGGTGAGAGCCATAATGATGTCGTATAATTATCTATAACAAATTATTTTATTTATTATACAAGATATAGACAGACCAACCACGACCAGAGCTCCAAACAGTGAAATAATAAGTATGATAACAACTCTGTTACCAGTCTACAACTCTGTTACTACTTAGTGCTAACAGAGTTGTGCAGTAACAGAGTAGCAAATTTAACACTTTTATTATTTAAACAAGATTGTATTATGTTAAAATGGATGCACATAAGATAATTGTTCCACTATATCTTCTTTAAAGTTGTAAATTTGTATAGAAATATAGGAATACTTACGCACAGAGCATAAAACTACGCCAACGGAAAACCCCGTTTGTATACCCCCGCCTGACATGCAACGAACAGTGTCGATAGAGCAGTAGACATAAAAACACAACTGCTTCCATTGAAAATATGGTGTCGTATATTGGCAGCTATGAAATATATCTGGTAACAGAGTATAAGCTTACTATTTGAAATAAAGCGGGATAACATTTTATGTAATCATAAGTAGAACAATGGATTATATACTAAGTGACATATAAATCCGAACACCCAGTTTAAATGGTTTTATTTTAATAAAAGTCGGTGAATGTATTTATTTTACTGTAAATGACAAGTGAAAAAATTTTCAGCCTTATCAGTTGGACATTCCGGTTTTTATACTGCTTTTTTTAATTCACCAGCGCTCTAAAAATGAATATTTCAGCCGCAGTAAAGAATCAACGTTGGCGGATTTTGGTTCTTGACATCCTTTACGATCGGTTACGATACCTAGAGTACGGAGACCTGTACGATTTCGTCAACTTAGTGAGTTTGATAGGGGCCGTATAGTGGGACTTCGGGAAACTGGACTTTCTTTTCGGGCAATTGCAGTTAGAGTGCAAAGAAGTGTAGATACTGTGGTTAGGTGTTGTCAGGCATGGCTTCGAGAAGGCCGTATGCAAAGAGCAAGGGGCAATGGACGCCACCGTAGAAGAACGGACCGTGAAAATCGCCGCCTAAGATTATTGGCCTTAAGGGACCGTTTCTCCACTACCAGGTCCATTGCAAATGAATGGTTTGCAGAACACGGAAGACCTATTGGCATGCGAAGTGTTTACCGACGAATGAGAAATTTTGGCTTGTATTCATACCGGCCACACTGGGTCCTCCCTTTAACTCGAGAACACCGACGTAATCGCCTTGAGTGGTGCAGACAACGGTCACTCTGGGATCAGAAATGGAACAGTATTGTCTTTAGTGACGAGTCTCGATTTTGTTTAGGCATGCACGATGGTCGTGCCAGGGTTAGAAGGCGACGTGGTGAAAGGAGGAATCCAGAGTTTTTTGTTGAAAGACATGTTCATCACACTGTTGGAGTTATGGTTTGGGGTGCTATAGCTTATGGTTCCAGGTTACCTTTAACCTTTATCAGAGGTAACATGAACGCGCAGCGTTATATCCACGTTCCAAGTTCTAGAACCCCATCTTTTACCCTATCTTGACACCCTGGCAGATCCAACTTTCCAACAAGATAATGCCCGACCACATGTTGCAAGAGTCACAATAGATCTCTTTCAACATAATGATGTCACATTGTTACCATGGCCACCAAGATCTCCCGACTTATCCACAATTGAGCACGTGAGGGATATGATGGGTAGGAGATTGCTCAATTTGCAACGTCCTCCTTAGACCCTAGAAGCACTTCGAGAGGAGTTGGTGGTTGCCTGGAATGAGATACCACAGGAGGACATTGACCACCTGATCAGAAGCATGCCTGGGCGCGTTGGAGAATGCGTAGCACCTCAGGGTGCATCCACACATTATTAAAGGTCAAAGGGCTTTAAAGAAGTGCAATCATTTTGACATTTTTATCATTTACTTATTATGCTTCATTAGGTACTTATACAAAATTTTATTAAAATAAAACCATTTAAACTGGGTGTTCGGATTTATATGTCACCTAGTATATCTTTGAACTCATATATTTTGGGTAAAGTCGAGCAAAGTGAAGTATACACCACTGTTATGTCCTTAAAAAATTGAAATCAAATCAAATACATCAAAATATTGATAACAGAGTCCCTTCAATCTGCATTTTTGTTGATTTAAAGAAAGCTTTATATGAAGGCACTGACTGGTCTGATCTGAAAAATGTAATTGAAAATGATTTTATCAAAATTATTCGGTAGTTAAACAGTAGAAAATTAAGCATTAACTATTCTAAAACACATTTTTTACCATTTGGATCTTATGCTAGACATCTGCCAAATTACACAAATTTCTCCTTCAACATTAATGATCAAAAAATGCAAATTAATAGTGTGCCCAACATAAAATGCCTTGGAGTGGTCTTGGATCCTCACTTACGATAGGAAATCCATGTCAATTATATCTTAAAGAAACTTAGATTTGTATCATACAAAATTAAATAGCTTGGGAATATATTGACAGAAAAATATCTTCGAACATTATACCATGCACTGGTTGAGCCTCATCTCACATATGGTATATTCGCATTGGGAGCTGCATGTTCCTCACATATCTGTAATTTAGATGTTTTTCAAAAAACTATTCTAAAAATGATATTTAAAAACCGAAACTTTATCTATCCCACTGACAAATTATACGCAGATGTTCGAATATATGATATAAGACAGCTTTATTTCTTGCACAGTATCACTCACTACCATAAATTTGTAAACACCGACCAAAAAATTAAACATAATCATTATACAAGGTACAAAATTCGTGGCACATTAGTTCCTCAGCCGCATAAATCTATAATGCAGCGGTCATATCTCTATTTAGCGCCTAAATTTTATGAAATTATACCTAAAGACTTAAAAGATTTACGTTTCGGAAATTGTTTCAAAAAAAATTTAAAAAAGTGGCTACATTCTATATCTAGTACTGAAATTCATAAACCCATAAATACAAACATCAAGTAAATATACTAAGTGACATATAAATCCGAACACCCAGTTTAAATGGTTTTATTTTAATAAAAGTTGGTGAATGTATTTATCTTACTGTAAATAACAAGTGAAAACATTTTCAGCCTTATCAGTTGGACATTCCGGTTTTTATACTGCTTTTTTTTTATTCACTAACACTCTAAAAATGAATATTTCGGCCGCAGTAAAGAATCAACGTTGGCGGATTTTGGTTCTTAACATCCTTTACGATCGGTTAACGATGCCTAGAGTACGGAGACGTGTACGATTTCGTCAACTTAGTGAGTTTGGTAGGGGCCGTATAGTGGGACTTCGGGAAGCTGGACTTTCTTTTCGGGCAATTGCAGTTAGAGTGCAAAGAAGTGTAGACGCTGTGGTTAGGTGTTGTCAGGCATGGCTTCGAGAAGGCCGTACGCAAAGAGCAAGGGGCACTGGACGCCGCCGTAGAACAACAGACCGTGAAGATGGCCGCCTAAGATTATTGGCCTTAAGGGACCGTTTCTCCACTACCAGGTCCATTGCAAATGAATGGTTTGCAAAACACGGAAGACCTCTTGGCATGCGAAGTGTTTACCGACGAATGAGAAGTTTTGGCTTGTTTTCATACCGGCCACACTGGATCCTCCCTTTAACTCGAGAACACCGACGTAATCGCCTTGAGTGGTGCAGACAACGCTTACTCTGGGATCGGGAATGGAACAGTATTGTCTTTAGTGACGAGTCTCGATTTTGTTTAGGCATGCACGATGATCGTGCCAGGGTTAGAAGGCGACGTGGTGAAAGGAGGAATCCACAGTTTTTTGTTGAAGGACATGTCCATCACACTGTTGGAGTTATGGTTTGGGGTGCTATAGCTTATGGTTCCAGGTCACCTTTAATCTTCATCAAAGGGAACATGAAAGCGCAGCGTGTATCCACGAAGATCAAGATCTCCATCTTTTACCCTATCTTGACACCCTGGCAGATCCAACTTTCCAACAAGATAATGCCCGACCACATGTTGCAAGAGTCACAATAGACTTCGTTCAACATAATGATGTCACATTGTTGCCATGGCCACCAAGATCTCCCGACTTATCCCCAATTGAACACGTGTGGGATATGATAGGTAGGGGATTGCTCAATTTGCAACGTCCTCCTCAGACTCTAGAAGCACTTCGAGAGGAGTTGGTGGTTGCCTGGAATGAGATACCACAGGAGGACATTGACCACCTGATCAGAAGCATGCCTAGGCGCGTTGGAGAATGCGTAGCACATCAGGGTGCATCCACACATTATTAAAGGTCAAAGGGCTTTAAAGCAGTGCAATCATTTTGAAATTTTTATCATTTACTTATTATGCTTCATTAAGTACTTATACAAAATTTTATTGAAATAAAACCATTTAAACTGGGTTTTCGGATTTATATGTCACTTAGTATACATAATCTACTGTAGCTGATTTTTGTCCTTTTTTGTCATTTGCATTCTACAGCTGCAACTTAAAATTATTGATCCATGTACAGGCGATGCCTTCTATTGGGCCTGTTTTGATTTTATATTTATTTACTTATATTGTTTGTTATCTTTGTACATGGAGTAAATAAATATTACTATTATGAGTACAGAAGGTCATGGGGGTTGACACCTAAAAAATGCGAATTTTTTTTAGTTTTCGCTTTGCGCTTTCGAGTCATAGCAGGAATAGAGGTTGTTCGAAAATTCAGAAACTATACATGCCTTCTGTGTAGCTAAAGTCTCTCTGAACCGCATTCGATCTATTTCCGTGTATAGAAGTTTGCAAAACTAGATTGTCTCTATAGTAATTTATAGGAGGACGCTGTGGCACGAGAACTTTCGGTGAAACTTATCTCACCGTCCAACTTTCTTCCACAGCGCTTCGCACTCCCTACGCAGTAAACAACTAATTTCTCTAAATCTCCACCGTAATAATGGGCGACATCGACCAATCCTAACGAACGAATTCAGACAGGAGGAATGTCGGAATCCAAACAACCTAAAGCGTCTCCTTAATATCGTCTCGACCCATTTGCGTGGATGTGGGCAGTCAATTCCGACTATGAGTTACACTTATG